ACCTCTTGCAAGGAGGTGATATATCACGAAGAATCAAAAGTTTACAATATCCTTTTTATTCCCTAAAAAACAGAGCCAACGAACCAAAACCAACATCAAATGAGAACAAACAAAACTTCTGAGGGACAGAAAGAAAGAAAGAGAAACAATAATGGAGAAAAGAGTAACACTGCTCCTCTGCTCACCACCGACTTATGATGAAAAATATGTCCGTGAAATGAAATATGTGGGGGGAAAAGGGTTTTAGGGAACAACAGCAACAATATTGAAGTTATTAACTGAAGTTGATTCGCGTCTGCTGAACTGAGGCAGACACCTGCTACCCTGCTGTTCACAGAAAATAACAGCGCTACCTCTCTGCTTTCCTGTTATTTCAGACCCAATTACACCTTGGTTCGGCACTAAGAGGAGACACAGTGAGAAATTTATTTTAAAGCTTCCTTCCTCCACGCTCTAGGATCCTATTCTACAGGATATAAAATGAAACATCCTGCTGGCAGACATATTCTTCAAACTTAAACTATTATCCTTCACTTCAACTGCCATCAAGGCGGTGTCACTTTCTTTTTTATCAAAGCTGTGTTCCCAGTAAAAACATAAAAAATAAAAATTGTAGCCTGCGCCATGGCGAGTGGAATTTGAATTCTCTATAAAATGAAAATGATGTGATTAGTTTTGATGAAAGCTGATGAGTACGATTATACTTGTGCAAATTAGTTTCAAAAACATCAAAACAGCAGCAATGACGGTGGGCAGAGACTCAGTTGGTGTGACATGGGCTCATTTAAGGATCAATTCCATGTTTCTGAATGTTTGTTACTGTGATATTTAAAAATACATATGTTTTTTATCAATATAGAGAGTCACCTGGACTGCAACTGAAATAAACTGTATATGTATGCTCAACTGACATTGCATTATCTGTGTAAATCTCATTTCGAAGGCACTTTAGAAAAACAAACATGCATGGAATTGAACCTGCAACAACCAGCAGTGGAAACAAGCTGTAACCACAACACTGACATATCCTAATCTTTTATGTTGACAGGGCAAACTTGTTAGCAGACACATGCTTTATTTACACACACAGCAGTTAAGGAACAAAATTAGCAACCATCTGGAGCCATGTTTGTGGCCACCTGATGAATGTAAATCCAAAATCACCCTTGTTTAGCTCCGGTCATTTAGCTTCAGCTGCTAAATGCCCCACTATGTTCATCCTTTGATAATACTTCAAAATACAGTAAATGTAGGTATGGCTTCTGTGTTGTGGGGAGCACTGGGGATGTACCGATTCATCGGCCAAACATCGGTAAAGGCTGATATTCGCTTTGTCGACTGCCATCGGTCATTCGGCAAATGAGATGATATTCATTGATAGCAGTAGCAGGTATTTTTTTGTCATGCTGCATCAATTGTGCGCCAACTAAACATTGTTTTCAGTTACTCGCGGTCCGACTCAGACAGCAGTCGCTGGCATACTCTGCTGCTGATTTGGAGACGACTGGATATGACTCCAATCCCTGGCATGAGGTAAGACCTCAGCAGGTGCTGTGGGACATGCAGTTTGTAAGACATGTTTCTCTGCGGAGGCCCCATTTCCAGAAGAGCGGCTGCACTCGGAAATTGAAGAAGCAGTCACCTTCGTTTCCCAGTGCTGGCACAAATGGCACGCAAATGCCAATGTGCTCCATGAACAAGCACGGACAGTGAGCAGCTGTTGAGCTCTGCGTCTCACATCTTGAGTAAGAAGAGAAATAGATTTAGCTGCAACGAGATAGAGATGCTTATGGTATTTTTAGTAGTTGTAGTTAGTATAGGTATAGATAGTTAGTATATGGATGAAAGAAGGCTACATTAAAGGCTGGTTCGTAATGGAGATGTCTTTGTTTCCAACCAAAAACCATTGGTATCGGCATCAGCTATCAGTCAAACTGTTAATTTGTACATCTGTGTTAGGGCTGTCAAAAAAAATTTGAAGTTCAAAATATATTCGAATATAAATATATTTTTTATAAGTTCAAACCTAAATTTGATAATTCGAATATCATTAATAATTAATCAATACTATTAATAATGTTGTATATCATGGCGAATCCCGTTGGAGATGGCTGGCGCACAAGCCAGGCCAGAGAGGGACACAGTGACGGAGGGAGAGGCGCTGACAGAGGAGCCCACTGCACCAACACCACCCACTGCGCTGTCCACGATGTGTGACCTGTTCGGGAGACATACAGGGAGAGTGTTGCACCTGCTGCCTCCCTGCCTACCCTTTTTGAAGAAGAGATGAAACGTTACCAGAATGAGACACCACTACGAGCCGACAAGGATCCACTCTTGTGGTGGAAAACTACGCCCTGAAGTATCCAAACATGGCTCAGATAGCGAGGCAGAAGTTGATCATACCTGGCACTTCAGTAAGGTCAGAACGGGTGTTTTCATCCCAGTGTCACGTTCATATTGCCCCAGCAATAAGCATCTTATTTAAAATAAAATAAAAAATAATAATAATAAATTTGAATATTATTCGAACTCTACTAAATTAATTCCAAAATATTCAAACTCAATTTCATGGTGCTTTTGACAGCCCTAATCTGTATTAGCATCCCTACAGAGTGCACAATATGTCATGGTATTCACTGCTTCGAATTAAGTAGAAAATGCTCCTTTTCTTTGACCCGTCGTCTCGGGTGACCGGTCTTTCTAACAGTCACAGTTTGAACCTCCTCAACATCTGAACAGATGACAGAAATCAGCCCAGGAACGGTGCAAAGTGTTATTTTTCCTCTGTCAATCAGTAGTTCAACCAGCCTGTTAACCCCAGTCCATGTGTGTTTCTGTGTGTGTGTGTGTGCATCAGGTAGACAGAGACTGACATGAAGCCAGACCAGAGCTCATTGTCTGTTATGCTACGATTCCCTGCCTACCTGCCAAAGCATCACACTTCAGACACTGACAGACCCTCTTCATCTGGATAACCCCATTACTGTCTGTCTCCGTGGGTAAAGACACAACGATTTTCACTCTACACCAAATACTTCTGTCAAATACTGTGCCGGATCTCACCAGGTCCTGACATTTGGTGGGTGGTTTTATCCGAGGCATATTACAGAGCATCATGAGCGCCTACATTTTTAACACGAGTGGGCCCTGTGCAAATCAAACTGCTAACAGCGGCTATGATTAAAACTGAGTGTTGTGGTTTGAAATGTTATCGGACGGGAAATTTGGCCTTTAAACAACCCAGAAAGGTTTGCAATTTCACTGGAATCAATGTGGAGAAAAATACAAACACGTGAACAGAAAACATTTGATTCACGGGGAACAATATCCACCTGACATTTAACAAAAATCACTACGACCAGGACTCCAAAGGAGCAACAAGAGCAGCCACAAAGGTCAGGACATGTTGTTCCATTTTCATTTCAAAATCAAGACAAGGTTATCCATCCCACGATTTCAATGAGTCACTGTCGAATTTGCATGACACAAGTTTGAGCTTATCTATAGATTCATCATTGTGTGCTGTGAATCACTGCTTCACATGAATGAAAGCGCTACATTACATATTAAACAATTAGGTTTTACAGATTTAGGGACAATGGGCTCATGTGTTTATCATGTTTTCTTAAACTGGGCTCAACAGGTGTTTATACAACCTGTGGACTGACACGTCAGGCAATTTGGGGATTAAAAACTTCGGTCCGTGTTCAATCACGCCGCTGATACAGATTTCCACATTTTCTCTAAACTGTAATGAGGCAATTAATAAAGATTTCTGCTCCCTCAGAACAAATTGCTTCCCAGGATTGGTGTCATTACACATACAAAGGCTACTGACCTCAGTTGTCCTTTTTTCAATGTCCAATTCCATTTTTTTCAAGTTAAATCAACATTGATTGCTTGGAGGGGAATGAATTGTTTATCATTTAACCCTTGAAAGGAATACTTAACCCCTCAAATAACAATTTGAGTATCAATTACTCACTTAAAATTTGTTTTTCTCACATGCCTCTGGTGAACGAAGACTTCAAAAACGGAGAACATTCTTGACGAGGTGAAAGACCTGCACCCTGACGTAGACGTCGAACAGCCATGTTTTTTAAATAAAAGTTTTATAACTTAATTCGAGTGCATTTGTATCTGCTCCACACATTAGTGCCTCAAGTGCATTTGTTATTCCCATGTGCTGACCCTTTTCTTCAAGAGCACCTGCAGTTTGTATTGAGTTTTATTGAGGCAAAAACAAAACTTATCAAAACATCTGTTCATAAATGCACACAACTCCTTCAGTATAATAAAAGTCTCATTTGTCCGGTCATATGCTCAGTACCTCCCAAACTGTTAGGTCTTTCTGACGAGGACTGAACTTGAATTGAAACTTCTCTAGGCTCTCTTTAAAGCCAGGCTCCACTGACAAAAACGGTCATTTTACCTAACTGAACATGGGAGTTGCTGATCTAACACTGCCTTCACTGGTTAGATAGTTTGTGTTATTGTTTGACTTTGGTATTTAAAGTGCTGGTTGGGATCCAGGCAGCGATAGACCGGCAGCAAGTATAGACAGGTCAGAAGGGGAAATTACTGAGCATACAACTGGATGAACAAGACTTCTTGGTCAAACGTCTCTAAAGGCTCTGACGGATGCGAAAAACGCAGAAAATCGAACCTGTTGTGAAAATGTTAATGATGGACGAATGTTTCAAACTCAGTGTGCAAATGTGTTTGACACAATGTAAGGTCATATTTATTGTTAGACGTGCAACAATTTTGAACGAAAAGAACGGACTCAATGTGCAAAGGCCTTTAGCTCTTTGCAGGTATTTGGACATAAAGCTTTCACCAATTACCACATTGTTGAACTGACAGACTGGTCTGAAGGTTGGGAGATACCATATACAATATCTAATGTTATATATATTCATGTAACTAAAAACCTTCAAGCCATGACACAATGTCAGCTGTTAGTTACAAAATGTGTTAGATTACAACCACACTACCTTGACTGTATCCAGGTCTCCGGCTTTAGCAGCTTCCAGAAGTCTGTAGTCCACATCTGAGTTTCTCACCGGGACGTTCTCTACAGAGCAGCAGGAGAAACATATATCAAAAATGCAGAAATTATTAGTTAAAGCCACAAATGATCATGACAGCAAATTCATCCTCTGCAAATGGGCGGTGCCGAGGACAGAAGATGAGATCAAGCACATCCGCAGCTACAATCAAATCCAGGATGTCACTCCTGGTACTGAGTAGTTAAAATTCACTTCACCCACATGGACGTCAGTTTGTGGACAGCTTCATCTTGCATCTAAAAATGTCAAATTACTAAACTGCATTTCCTGCTAAAAATGGTGTTAAATGACCAGATTTCTAAAGTCAACTGCGCTGATTTACACCTTGACAATGACTGACAGGAGAGGGTGAGTCATCAATCTCCTGCCACCACCGTACAGCACAACGTACAACTAACTGTTCACAGCAACTACCGTTTCTCTGGAAGGGACTTTTCCTATTGATGTTTACATTACATTTCAATGCTGTGGTTAAAATTATTTTTAGTAGTTCAGACTACTGTTTGGCTGGGTGCTGTAACTTCTTGAAGTCTCTTTGTTTTATAAACACCTGTTCAGTTCAGTTTCCTCTACCCCTGAACAGACGAGTTGACTCACTCACACACACTGCACCGGCACTCTGTGTGCACCTTCAGTCGGAAAGTATCAATACCGACCTTTCAAAAAAACAATCCCAGCTAATCCCTCTGTTGCTAGCCGGTGCATAGCAACCAAAACACAGCACCTACACATCTGCGCACCCAGCCACCCACACGCACAATGGGTGGCATACCGTTGAGTATTTGCTGAACAGCTTCATTTCCCATTTGAGCAGCAGTGAAGCCCTGCAGTGACACCAGCGAGGCGTCTGCCCCGTATCCTAGCAACAGCCTGCAGGTCTGTAGGTGGCCTGCCATAGCCGCGCGGTGCAATGCCGTCTGACCCAGCGTGTCCAGGGCGTTCACCTATAAACACAAAAACCTTTGTATTATGATTCTTTAAAGGTCTTTCAGTTACATTTTTCTCTATTATGCTTCACTTCTTTAAAGATTTTGTGTTTTATATTTGCAGTGAATTCAGATCACTTTGTAGAGATCTGTTCACTTTTTTTGTTGATCTTTGTCAGAGGAGCAACATTAAATCTACTTTGATTAAATTCTATAAATATTTTTGATAAGAACTGTACATGGAGATGAAAAGGAGAATGCAAAGTAAATACATTTATGATAATAATTTATGTGCAGATAGGAGAGATATAATTATAAAGCATACATTTTACAAGGATTGAAGAACAAGTAAAGAGATAAATAAATATACAGGACAAAAAAGATCCAAGACTTAAACGCACTCAGTAGATATACTGATCTCAACTGAGAACTTCTCCTTTTCCAAGATAATCCATCCACCTGAAGGACATGTGGCATATCAAGATACTGATTAAACAATATCATCACTAAACAGGTGAGCTTTGGGGTGGTCACAATATAAGGACCCTCTAACATGTGCAGTTTTATCAAACAAAACACAAAGACACAGATGTCCCAAATTTTGAGGAAGTGTGCCATTGGCATGCTGACTGCAGGAATGTCCACCAGAGCTGCTGCTCATGAACTGAATGTTCATTTAATGACCATAAGTCATCTACAACACCATTTCACTGAATTTGGCAGTACATCCAACCGCAGATCAAGAGTAGCTACACCAGCTCAGGACCTCCACATCCAGCGTCTTCACCTGAAAGATTGTCTGATATCAGCCAAACAAACAGCTGATGTGACAAATGGTTAGCATAACTTAAGAATTTCTGCAGAAACTCATCTCAAGAAAGCTCATCTGCACGCACATCGTCCTCACCAGGGTCTTGACCTGACAGCAGTTTGTCATTATAGCCCATTTCTGCAATTGTGAGGATGGTTGAATGTACTGCCAAATTCAGGGAGACGACATTGAGATGTCTTATGGTCGCGAAATGAACATTAAGTTCACTGGCAACAGTTCTGGTGGACATTCCTGCTGTCAGCATGCCAATGGCACACTCCCTCAAAACTCTGGACATCTGTGAGGCCGTTTACACTTGGCCGGCTATTTTCATAAACGGACATTTCACCGTCTCCGTTTTCAAAAAGATCTTCGTTTACACTTACCCGTGTATATATACACAAGAGCATGCCAAACCTGTAGGTGGCAGTGTAACGAGAAGCTCAAGCCTTCCATGTATCCATTGTCACCATAGCAACATAGGTCGCACTTTTGACACAGGCGCAAGTTCTGGCGCATACTGTGACGTCGGCTGCCTATAACTCCGTTTATCTCCGTTTATCTCAGTTTACATGCAAACGCGCAACGCGGAGTTTTCCAAAATCTCCACTCTGGCCTGAGTTTTTAGAAAGACTCGTTTTCAGAGGAGAAATCTCCGTTTGCGTGTAAACGAAGGGCACAAACGAAGGAAGATGTCTCCGTTTATCAAAATCACTGTGTACGTGTAAACGGTGTCTGTGACTTCATGTGGTGTGATCAAACTGCACATTTTGGACTGGTCTTTTATTGTGACCACCCCAAGGCACACCTGTGTAGTTCTGATGCTGTTTATTCAGCATCTTGATATGCAACACATGTCAGGTGGATGGATTATCTTGGAAAAAGGAGAAGTGCAGGAAATTTGTGTCCAAATTTTGAGGGTAATATATCTATTGTGGTTTACCTTGGCACCGTGTTTCTGTAGCACCTCCATGATGTCATTATGAGCACGTTCTGCCGCCACATGGAGAGGAGTCATGAAACTACAGAGACAGGAGAGAAAAGGAGGAGATGAAGGTGTTTGTTCAACATTGGCTTGACTTTGCCAAAGTTCAATAGTCCTGATGGCAGCAATACAGCAACTGTCTAAAGTTTAAAACTGCTACGACTTAGCAGCTTCATCAAAATAAAGCCCCAGTTTAGCAGAGCCTGGCAGTAATTATAAAGTACATCACTCTGTTTTTCTCAAAAACTGTAAAACTAATTAAACTTATCTCCTCCCACGTTTCACTCAACTTACACCACACTTGCTACACAGCAACTTCACACTGTCCTACACAAACAATCCAGAGTGCAGTGCATCAAAATGTTTTAGTTTCAACAGCACTAGGCTTGGGTGGTATCATTGTAATATGGTATACCAAGGTATTTAGAAATCCAGACAGTTTAATTTCCAATACAGTCAAAAATACAAATGCTCCTCTGTCTATCAAACTCAGACAGTCAGGCTGTATTTAGGAAGAATTGTTGTACACATCATGCTTAACAAGAGGTCAGGAGGTGGAACAGGCAGCATGTAAGCTGAGAAATGACTGCAAGTGGTGGGGATAACGTTACAGGATTGTAGCCAGCCAGCAATGGCAGAGAGACGGCAGGGAGAAACGGCACACTTTCCCATCTCAGTCGGTGAATTAAGTTTTTTTTTGCAACCAAACTAAGCCAGTAACAAGGTTAACATGGTTCTGGAGAGTTGTTTTTTGTTTCTGTTAAGTTAATAAAGCAATTAAGCTAGTCGTAGTTCTGTGTAAGGAAGCAAGGGATACAATGTCAGGAGGGTACTCAGATATGAAAAAATAGATACCAACCAAGCCTTAACAGTATAGTAAAAAAAAACAACAGCAAATTCTCGCTAAATAAATCTCAAATTTTCATGACAAAAAGGACAAAATTTCAGTCATGTTTGAGGTAGTGTGGTAAATTTCATAACTGTATCTACCAATCAGATTTTTGACAATATTTTGAATTCAATCGTCATGTAAACTGTTGCAGTCAATGGAAAGAAGAGCATCTTTAAACATCAGTTTGTCATGTTTTGGAAATGATAGGGGTGTAACGATCCATCGATCTGCATCGATATATCAATTCAATGATCAACAATCCATTGTCATCGATGCAAAGTGAAAACACTGATCCATACCGTCATCTTTAGAATGTGTATTTATTTTGAAAGTCTTTTTTCACTGGTCAACGGCAGCAGGCAGGCGGCAAGCAGCCAAGAGAAAGACGATGTGGATAACGTTGTTTACTCAGGAATATATCAGCAGTGTGGAAATATTTGGATTTCAGAGACAAAAGGGATCAACAGACAAGCACATGGCATATGTAAACAAAGGTGTTACGAAATAAAACATGACGTAATGTTACCTGCCGTTAGCTGCTCTGTTTCAACAATGTTCAGCCGAAAAAACGTGTATGCAGGCCAAGTTAAACAAAGATAATAACATTACGTAATTTGTTAAGCTGTGAGCAAAGGAAAAAAGTCTGCTAGCTGCTAGGCTAATTTATGCAATGTAAACATGCTTAAGCTAATAATGTCTAGCAAAAAACAATTGACATGTCTATGAACCTTGACAGTTATTACTGAGCTGAATTTGATACTTTTGTTAAACCATGTTGTTGTTAATTCATGTTTTATGGCTGTTTGCCTTCAAGGTTTTAAGCCAGATAGTCCTGAAGTTTTAGGAAACAGATGATGGTTTGGCTTAAAATAACAGAAAGCCCTGAAGGTTAACTTATCCCATATGCTGTTTTATGCATGTCAGTGTAGTCAGTTTAAAGTAATTCTCGGAACCCATCGGCTGTATTTCGCGTCTGATTTCCGGCAGATGGCGATACAGCCTCTGGGGGCAGACCCCCGATTTTTTGGCATTCCGGTTTGAGGAGGCGAATTTCTGTTTCCGACTTCCGTTTATATATAAGTAAATATGCTGAACCATTGCGATGGATTCAGAGTTTGCAGTGACGCCAATTATGTTCCGCCTCGTTAGTTCACCACACGAAGCGTTTAACCTAGCAACAACTGCAGCCTGCTCAAACGTGATTGGTCAATATCACGCAGACTACAAACAGTCTAGCACCAGAAACCAGGGCTCTTCTGCTCTTCTTCCGGAGGCACGATCTCCGGGGTTTGCCAACAGACTCTACATTCAGTGAATGTATATAGAGACTAGTTTAAAGTAAACTTCACTGCATGTAAGCGGTTACAATTATTGACATTATTTATCTGTTGTTTTTATGTTTTATGGCCAAAAGCAAAAAAGAAAGTGGTGGCAGCTTCTTCTGCAACAAACTGTGTTAAATGGGTAGATAACATCGTTTCATATCAGTCGCAGGCCCCTGAATCGCATCAAATCGAAATCGTAGCATGGCGGACTTTGTAATATCGGCAATATCGTATCACTGTCCAGCAAATCGATATCATATCGTATCATGATGAAACTGGTGATTTACACCCCTGATAAATGACAGACAGTTCTAGGCGTCTGGATGAAGGACAACAATTCTCATAATTTTGTACTGTTTACTGAATTGTTTTACACTAGCTTTAAATCTGCTTTTACACACAACTCTGGTGATTGTCGATGTCATACTGAAAAGCCAAACTGTGGTTTCTAACTTGGCAGGTGGTTCAACAAGATCATGACTCACTCTGCTATAATTTCTGCTGTTGCTGTTTCACATTAAATAAACCTTCATAAAAACATGTTCATATCGTGTTTGACTTTGTTGTGTAAAGTATAAAATACCACCTGTTGGCAGCTTCAGTCCAAAAGTTATGATATCAGCTTGAATATTGCATACAAATATAATAATGATCTCTCTCTGTGTTTATGAGCAGATGAAAACACACTCACTCTTTATTCTTCTCATTTACGTTGGCGCCTTTCCTCAACAGCAGCTCCGTCACCTGTTTCCTCTTGGGGTGCGGCGATGCAACTGCACAATGCTAAAACACAGACAGACACACACAACATCTCAGCATCTCCGCAGCATGGTTGGAATCTGTGTGTGCAGTAAAGCATGCGTGTTCGTCTCACCAGCGCAGTCTCATGTGTGTGCGGGTGTTTGAAGTTGATGATCTCAAGCGCCAAGGTCTTCTTAGCCTTGGCCATGTCAGCTTCGCGAGCGGCTTGAAGCAGCGAGTGGCCCTTGAACTCATCTGAACACACACAAAATGTCAACATGTCAGGAACAGAGAAAAACAGCCTCAGCATCAGTGAAATTTTGAGTTTATTTTGACAGGTTTCCCACAAACCCGAAAGCGTCTAAACCCACAGAGGAGCATCTGGTGCTTCAGCTGAATAAAAAACTTGACCCAACCTGGATTTATGAGGTTCCCGCCCGACCACAACAATATATTCACTTGCAGCGACCCTGCAGCATACAAATACTTCTGAAAGATTACTTCAAAGTTTTTACCAGCAAGCTAATAACTTATGATGCAACATTCGGTGTGCTGGAGTTGGAGTGGAAACAAGTGATTATCCCCTCCAGGACTGAACATTACAAACTACTTTGCTGCAGAAGCATTTCAGGCTGCATTAAAAGCAGCCCGATCAGGTCAATTTACCAATTGAGCGATGGCATTCATGCGTTTATAATCAAACATTTAAACAAATGGTTTGAGCACCACACAGAAGTCGCATCTTCAAGGGAACGTGGTCGAGAGATAGAGATAAGTCAAAACCAAGAACATAGAAAACAGCTGATGAATGGGGAACAGAAGCTGCCTCTGCAGTGCTTTCTTTTAAAAGAAGCCTGACGTCGTTTTTCATCCTTTGTTAGTCTACCACAATGCCTCACAAACTTTCGGATTTGTGACCCCTTAAAATGAGGAAGTGTCTACCTCTGAGTCCTCATCACAGCTAACAGCCTCAGTGTGGACAGGCGCTGAGTTCAGCCAAAGAGATATTTCCTTCTCTAATTGTTTCATTTGAAGGTTTTTTAGACGCCTGAAGAGAAGACAGTGTCCGGTGTTTTTTAAAAGTCAGAAATTATGAACATAATTTTCTGTCACAGTAACAGAATTGTACATCACTGCAAATGATCTGCAATTACACCAGGTGTTAGAATTATTTTTCTCCTCATGTGCAGCTACTTTCATGTCAGTATGAAAGCCAGTTTTTAGTGCCCGAAAACATGCTTAAAGCTCCAGTTCAGGTCACTTCCCTCTGTCTCCTCATGGTGCTTTCAGTGGCATTAGCAAGAATCTACTGTGCCAAACGAAAACAACCAGTCAGAGCTAAGGAGTCTCTAATGCAGCTGTCAACCATGTCAATCACTGCTCATGAACTGCAGTTGAACTGTCAAACTAGGCAGTGCTGATCAAATATAAATCAAGATTCTGTTACTGCTTTGCCAATTCCTCGCTTCAGATGTTCTCAGAAACATATGTGAGTGCACAGTGAGGCTGTAAAATGAGAAAGTTTGCTCTGGCTGATGGTCGGTTTTGGTTCGACTATTTCCAACACGGCGTCTGGGTCACAAACTTTTTCATACCAAGAGGCAGAGAAACAATTGTTTTCACAGATTACTGGTCTCATATACTACTGAAGACAAAAAAGAAGATACACTTTATTGATCCCTGAGAGCGAATTAATTTTTTTTCACTCTGTTGCCATATACAAACAGGCCCAAAATACACACGCCCATGGACTGGTGCCCTAGCTAGTTGGGGGTTTGGTGCCTTGCCTAGGGGCACCTCAGCAGTGCCCAGAAGGCGAACTGGCACCTCTCCAGCTACCAGTCCATGCTCCATATTTGGTCCAGATGGAGACTTGAACTGGCGACCTTACGGTTCCCAAGCCAAGCTCCTATGGACTGAGCTACTGCCTGCCCTGTGTGGATGTAATGACGGTTTCAGCAAATACGATAAAATATTATAATATTTAGAAAAGTTACCAACCACAGCTTTAAGACCATACCATTAATCAACTACATATCAGAGAACATTTCGTCTGATATTTTAGATGCTGTTGTTGTTGCTTTAAATGACAGACAGCATTTGACGAGCAGCTACTGAACAGCAACCAATCAAACGTGCATAATGTCTACGAGGAGGTTTTCCTTTCCTGCATTTATGCAATTAATCAGCTGCCTATCAACTCCATGATGTCATACATAATCCATATAACATTTTGTGAAACATGCTTATTCATTTTCTTGCTGAAAACTAAAGTTTGATAACACTCTCATATCTGTATGCTAAATATGAAGCTAAAGCCAAGAAACGGTTAGCTTAGCTTAGCATAGAGACTGGAAAAAGGGGGAAATGGTTAGCCAGGGAAGGGCAGAGAGGTATGCTCTCTCTGCCTTAAGGCTTTCCATGCAGGCACATGGAAGGGCAGAGAGGTGTGCTCTCTCTGTTTTAAGGCTTTCCATACAGGCACATGAAAGGGCAGAGAGATGTGCTCTCTCTCTGCCTTAAGGCTTTCCATACAGGCACATGGAAGGGCAGAGAGGTGTGCTCTCATATGTACGTGAAAGAGGCTTTATGCTTAGCTGGGTTTGTCTGGCACGATAACAAATTTTCACTACAGGATTATCATTGCCACTAAAGTTCATAATAACAATAGTGCTATATCTATCAAGAATTAAAAAAATTTAAAGCATACAAAAAGAGCAATTAAACTGAATGGATAATGATAAAGCAACCAGATGGCGTTGGGGGAGGGGAATAAAGCAGGAAAAAAATTAAGAGGAGCATTTACACAATATTATCATTTGTTTGTGTGTATTTACTTTTTAAATATCGTGGTTATCATTAATACCAACACATTGCGACACCCTAATCCAAAGGTCCACCAGTGCAAACTGACGAGCTGTGGTTTTAAGTGTGTGTGTGTTTTACCCAAAACCTCACCATGAAGACAAGACTTGGAAAGAAAGCAAGTAAGCGTATATCCCCAAATTACTTATTCAAAGCTCATTATTTTGTTTGTGTCATCTGGGCAAACCAGACTTTTTTTTTCTGTATTGATTTTCTATTGTCAACAGAAAAACTCTTGTATCCCACATCTGTATTCAAGACAACAGGGGACTTAATGTCAGGATATCAAAGGTGCAATAAAACACATCCAAGGTATTTTTCACAGTCTGTACCGGTCAGGTAACAATTTGTTCCAGGAAAGGAAAACGGCTGGCACAGAATTTCATCTGAACTTCTGCTGCAATCTATATCTACACTAAACACAGAGACTTTCACATCAACACACACACACCCTATATGCTGCTGTGCAATTAGGTGGAAACTTCCTTTCACCAGCTAGAGGCCATATCTCCACATTAGAGGTACCAAATACCAAAATATGGTTTAAAGTAAGTGTAAAATTTGACAGAATATATCATAAAAACAAAAATCTTCAGTTTTAGATTTGCATTCCTGTGAGGAGTCTTTTTTACTGCAGCCAATGTCCCACTTGATTTTTGTTTGGATTGGCCTCATTACAAAGATAAAGCAACAAGTGTGGCGGCGAGAGAGCTGACTCACTAATTAACTTTCAAAGAGTTGCAGAGACAAAGACTTATCTTGTCTGCTTTGACTGTAGACGTAAAGAAAATGAATTTAATTATAGTGCTCTTTCTGTTTAATTAGCGTATCATACATCGGCAAAATGCTCAATTAAGGAAACACATGCATTGGGATGTTCAGTCTTTATGGCCACACAAATGCAAGTCACGAGTTCCAAACACAAAACCAGTATATTTAAAGGCAACAGTGGAGAAGTGTTTGGAGATATGTTGAAAGGTTAATTGGATCTTGAGCCAAACTGAATCAACTTGTAATCAAAATGAAACATGACGCATTGTTGCTCAAGGATATTTGTATTTACAGCTTAACAAAGGAGACCATCTTTTAGAGTCTGTCAGACCTTCAAGTGTTGCTTTTGCCAAGTTAACTTAAAGAAGTATCTGCTTGTGTAAGTTTTGTTGCTGCAGAGAAAATAAGTCCCTGAAGACTGAAAAGCGTCTCCAGGCATCTTTACTGCAGAAGTGAATGAGGCAGCAAATCATCTATTAAGCAGCTAAGAATTACCTGTGTCACAGAGTGTCAAGACGGAGAGCTCAAAAAATAATCTAAACAATGTGAGCTGTAAAGCTGCAACTCAGAAGGATTTTCATTACTGATTCATCTGGCGATAACTTTCTTGATAAACGTAAATCTTTTGCTCTATAAGAGAGCAAATGTCTTGCTTTGTCTGACCAACACACAAAAACCCAAAGATATTCAAGTTATTATCACAGAATGCTATAAAAAATAGCAGATAATCAAACTTTGTCATGGGCGTTTTTACACTATTTGCTACAAATACCAGCAGCATGATGAGACACTCTGCATCTATTTTGCTCTGATCTTTTTTTATGATTGCTGAAACACTGCAGCCGCTTGTCAATGTCAATTTTTACCTGGCCGCCCAATCACAGTGGAGGTGGAGCAGGGCAAATACCACAAAGACCAACCGTCATTTTTACTTTCGCAGATATTCTGTATCTTAAGCCCCATTTGCACCAAACACTTTGGATATGGTACCTTTGGAACCAAAAGTAACCCTTCAGACATGGTACCTAGACCCTAGTGTTTCCACTTCAAACAGTACCCTTAAATGTGGTTGTTGTCACTCACTGCTCCGTCCAGCACTCCACTCCAGTATTTCCTCATTACTGGTGACACAGAGAGTCTACACCTCGTTTATGTCCACAGAACGAGTTGTCACAGTGAAATTGAAGGTGTGTTGACTGATTCATGTCGTCAACTTGTGCAGTGAGTAACACCTTAAAAGTCGGCAGCAGTCAGCCCAGTGAATTAAGTTATTTTTTTCCTACTACAGCTGCTGCAAGAGGCAGCAAAGCATCTTTTCATTTTATAGTTACAGTTTTCTAATAAAACTCTCCACGGTATGAACAGTGGTTACATGAGCCTCAAAACCAGCCACAACTCAGCCCTGAGCAGAGTGAACGTCCTCTATTGACCAACCAACAGACTGCAGTGTTCACAGCTCCACCTTTTAGTACGAGATCTGTGTGCTAGGTACCCCAACAGAGGGGTGTCCAAAAATGGGAGTAAGAAACGGTTCCATTGGTACCATCCACAACTTTTCACAGGGAACTCAACTGTACCGTACTGCTTGGTGGAAACGGGGCTATAGTAACCAGATGCAACAAAAGCGTCTCAGCTGATAAAAACCTGCGCCTCTTATTGCGCCTCATTGCCCTTCTGTGTTTTGCATTTAACAAATGAACAAGTATTTTATTTGTTTTAAGACTGAGCCATTGATATCATTTAAAAAACAATATACCTAATAATAGCCTAACAATAAAGCTTGTTTACTAAGCACAGGAAGATGAAGTAATTTGCAAAAACTAATGGTGATAATACCACATATCGTGCTGTTGAGCCCCTCTTAATCGCCACAGGGGAAATTCCTTCACCGTGACAGACTATTTAGAAGCTAAGCAGAATTTGAGTACAAAACCATTTGACAGTTTTTTTTTCTTAGATTAGAAATTTTGGAAACTAAGGACCAAAGCTTACGTTACCTCTCTAAACAGTTTCTAAAAATGACGGACTCGTCTGCACTCTTCTTCTGTGGTAATTCATCCAGTACACATGAAAAGGAAAGAGCTGAATATGAGCACCAGTCAAGACTTAATTTTGTTCTGCTCAGCTTTCCAAGCATGTGGAACAGGTCATGTCAGACGTTAACATCTGTCTCTCTTCAAACCCATAATGCCTTGTTTTCAGCTCTGGAAAACAACTGTTCTATTATCAAAAGATTAAGTATCTCATTTTCAACCGCCTGAATGCTCAAATACGTTCAAATCATGACAGATGTAAATACACCCTTCCCAAAACAACCTATTCATTAATTCAATACTGTGACACATTTAGCGGTGCTGCGCGCTGCAGCTGCACTTTATGTAAATCGAGCACCACACTCACATGTAAGCCTCTCCTTCAGCTCGGGAGTGGGCGCCATGTCCACGGAGCTCTTGCTGTGGCAGTTAAGCAGGGTCGGGTCGGCCCCGTGGCTCAGCAGCAGGGAGCAGACCTCCACTCTGTTTTTAGACGCTGCCTCATGGAGTGGGGTGAACTGCCACAGATCCATGGCATTCACACACGCTCCGTGCTGAAAACAAAACGGAATGATTAACAAACAAATGGGAGGGAACAGGAAAAACAAGAGAAACAGGAAAAAAAGAAAGATGGAAAAAGTAAAAGGGAGGAAAGAGAACAGTTGTTGTAAGAACTGTTTTCTTCTATTTTACTTTGGATTGTTCTAAAGGGAATTAAAAAGACAGTTCAGATCTTTGAAGTGGGGTTGTATGATATTCTTGTCCATAGTCAGTGTATTACATACAGCAGATTTTAGTCGGTACGCCCCCAGTTTGGAGAAGCAGGCAGGAGCACCACCATAGAAGCTAAATAATATAGTGCTGTGGAAGGGCCAGCAACAGAACATATTTTAGCCACCAAAAAAAAAGAGTCATTATTAGTTTAAGGGTGCACTATATTAAAAACATGTTCACTGCTTTACCTTGGCATCAGGTAAAGGTTCACATCAGGTACACCTTGCTAGTACCGAGTTGGACCACGTTTTCCCTTCAGAACTGCCTTAATTTTGGTGTCATAGATTCAACAAGGTGCTGGAAACATTCCTCAGAGATGTTGGCCATTTGAGTACAGTGAAGTCATTGTCATGTTCAAGAAACTAGTTTGAGATGATTTGAGCTTTGTGACATGGTGCGTTATCCTGCTGGAAGTAGCCATCAGAAGATGAGTACACTGTGGTCATAAAGGGATGGACACGGTCATCAACAATACTCAGGTAGGCTGTGGTGTTTAAACCATGCTCAGTTGGTACTAAGGGGCCCAAAGTGTGCCAAGAAAATATCCCCCACACCATTACACCACCACCAGCAGCCTGAACCGTTGATACAAGGCAGGATGGATCCATGCTTTCATGTTGTTTACACCAAATTCTGACCCTACCATCTGAATGTGGCAGCAGAAATCCAGACTCATCAGACCAGGCAACGTTTTCCCAATTTTCTATTGTCCAGTTTTGGTGAGCCTGTGTGAACTGTAGCCTCAGTTTCCTGTTGTTAACTGACAGGAGTGGCACCTGGTGTGGTCTTCTGCTGCTGTAGCCCATCTGCTTCAAGGTTGGACGTGTTGTTGGTTCAGAGATGGTCTTCTGCAGACCTTGGTTGTAACCAGTGGTTATTTGAGTTACTGTTGCCTTTCTATCATCTTGAACCAGTCTGGCCATTCTCCTCTGACCTCTGGCATCAACAAGGCATTTTCACCCAGAGAACTGCCGCTCACTGGATATTTTGGTTTGGTTGTGCAGCAGTTTCTGAAATACTCAGACCAGACTGTCTGGCACCAACAACCATGCCACATTCAAAGTCACTTCAATCACCTTTCTTCCCCATTCTGATGCTCAGTTTGAACTTCAGCAGGTCGTCTTGACCATGTCTACATGCCTAAATGCATGGAGCTGCTGCCACATGATTGACTGATTAACTATTTGCGTTAACGAGCAGATGAACAGGTGTACCTTATAAAGTGGCCGGTGAGTGTAGTGTTCACTTAAACTAATAATAACTTTTTTCGGGTGGCTAAAATATATTTTGCTGTTGCTCACATTGAGTTAAATCTACTGTGTGTAAAACACTGACTGTTGATGACTGGTGAATATCTGGTACATATCTGTCTTGTCTTTAATGCAACAACTAAGCAGTGGAACTTGATTCTCTTGGGATTCAATTATGTTTTTGTTATTAGCAAACATATTATCATATTAATCAAGAGTCAGTGTCATTGCCTGAGTATAAACTGAGCTAGCATGTGTGATGTACCTTTAGCAGCAGCTCAGTAACCTCATAGTGTCCATAGGAGCAGGCATTATGTAGAGGCACCAGACCACTGCAAGAGCAAAACACAAAACAGCATTCTTATTAACAATAAATATACATTTCAACGTTACTTTTAAACCACATCTTCATTCAGTTCGATACGCCTAAATCCTCTGAGCTTTATTTTAATTTTGAATAACATCAACTGAGACGAACAGCGAGAATCAGTCTTAAATAGCAACGTCACTCGCCACCTCTTGAAACTCCCAAACCTCAAATCAAAATTAATCATGTCTCAGTAAGTGCATGACCTAGTTTTACCGCAAATTTATTCAGAAAGCAATTCTGATGGACGGTGCGGGATACATTTCAACAACATTATCATAATTGACAGCATGTATTTCTAGTGTGAAAATTAGAAAGAAAGCCCTGTGAATGATGTGCTCGTCAGATCATGTAGCGAGGATTCTTGATGATGTCTCTGTGATGGAAAGTACTTTTGATCATATATTAAAGGGAATGTTCGATATCTTTCAACCTGGACCCTATTTCCCTACATTTTTCTGTCTAAGTGACGAATGGGAACGACAATGATCAGAATATAATTTTAAGTGTCTGACAACATTATGGAAAGGATCCCTACAGAAGTCGGCCTTGCTGTTAAAGAGTAACATCCTTTTTGTCATATAGGAACAGCTCCAAAATCCCCATCACCAAACCCACCAGACTACACTGAAGTCTCTTGGTTTATCTTTCCATCATTCCAATAATCGCCAACTCTGGTGCAGCTGAAGTAAACCCAGGCTCTATATACTGTATGCTAAAATGGAGTTTGGCTGGTTTGGTGATGGTGATTTTTGGGCCTGTTTCTGGTTTAACATACATGATTTTATTTGTCTCACTTGTCGTGAGCATGAGATGGATCGGCGGTTTGGTGTGCCAGCTCATCGTGGTGAAGAGGGAGCTGAGCCAGAAGGCGAAGCTTTCGATTTACTGGTCCATCTGCGTCTTAACCCTCACCTATAGTCATGAGCTCTGGGTAGTGACTGAAAGAATGAGATTGCGGATACAAGTGGCCGAAATGAGTTTCCTCCGTGGGGTGGCTGGGCTCAGCCTTAGAGATAGTGTAAGGAGCTCAGACATCCGGAGGGAGATCGGAGTAGAGCCGCTTCTCCTTCGTGTTGAAAGGGGTCGGTTGGGGTGGTTCAAGCATCTGATCAGGATGCCTCCTAAGTGGCTCCCGCTGGAGGTGTTCTCGGCACGTCCCACTAGGAGGGACATGGAGGCCCCAGAGTAGACCCAGAACATGCTGGAGGGACTATATATCTCATCTGGCCTGGGACCAACAGGAGGAGCTGGAAAGTGTTGATGGGGAGAGGTACGTCTGGGGTGCTTTGCTTGGACTGCTGCCCCCACGACCCGGCCCCAGATAAGCGGATGAAAATGGATGGACGGATAGATTTATCTGTTAACAAAATGGTCTTTCTCTGTAGGGATGCTTTCTTTCGGTTGTCAGACACTTAGAAAAACAATCTGAGCCTGTCAGTGGCAAAATCAAGCACCTTGAATGGATGTAATTGAGGGTGCAAACCTGACCAGAATGGTTACATTGCAGCCTGTTTTGCAGCTGCTGACTGTAGCAGTCTTGCAATACTGGACCAGTTTAAAAAGTTGTTGTTCTCATTAGTCACTTAGACACAAACAAAGATGGGAAAATAGGGTAGAGATTGAAAGACAATACCAAAAAAGCACTTTAACCATCTTATGTGCTACTAAAACAACCACAGAAATATCATACATTTAGCACCTCAAAGGGTCAAAATGATTTAAACTTCCTTTTTTAATTTTACTTTAATTTATTTGTACATACCCTTTGTCCTTGGCATGAACATCTGCTCCATGTTGTAGTAACAGCTGAACTATCCTCACCCTGTTGTATCCTGCAGCCAGGTGGAGTGGAGTGGACTGGAGAGACAGGAAGAGAGGGACAATAACAGCAAGAAGAGAGAGAGAGAAAAAGAGGAAAGGGAAGCGGGAGACACACATGGGGAGGAAGAGACAGAAATATAAACTAAAATGTTAGTCAGTGTGTTCATTCTACAGTTTGACAGCCTATCATCATGATTTCACAATGTCAGTTCTGAATACAAAGATTTCAATAAGGAGGTAGACATTCTGTTTCTCACTGAGCAGCCGGATGTACGACATTTCTTAAGGTAAGACTTTTCAGCGAGAAATGGGCTGTTCCACCACTGAATCAGGCTACAGTTATAAAACCCGACTATATTTCCCCCCATAAAATTGATGAAAAGCTGCAGTTCTGAATGCTTTTAGATGGGACTGAGATGAGATGCTCTCAATGCAGTGCTTCCTCTGTATGCTCTCAGCAAAAGGCCATTCTTCTTCAAAGCTGGAGTGACACCCACACTGGTGGAGAAATGTTACGGCAGTGAGAATGTTCCCATTATTCAGTCAAATTGAACTTGCTACAGGAAAAAGTAATGGGAAACCTGCTTCTGAGCCATATTGATATAAAAGTCATTTTACAACACTGGATGTAGAAGAGATCAAGTTGTAAATAGGACTGGGATTAAATGTACTACATGCAGTAGGCAGATCTAAGAGTTCTTGGATAGCACACACAGAGGTAACTAGAAACATTTCATACATGCCATTTGTTATATATAGTTAGAGTAATCATTCCAGACAAGCTGACCCACCAATTATTCACCTTCAAAACCTACTAATGTTCATGTGAATCAAACCATTAACAACTCTGTACTTTTAGTGATGACTTAAAGAAGGAAATAAGGGTTCTTCCTGAAGGGCTGTGGTTCTACCATGAACCATTTGCTTCTGAAGATCCCTTTTTAGAAGAGAGAGTTCTTCAAGGATTGTTGAAAGCATAAATGTCTGTTGAATATTTATGAAAAACTCAAATATTTTTACCCACGTTTACCCAAGTGGTATTTTCTAAAGAAGCATTTCACTGCTGGAGACATGATTGGTTTTGAGATGAGATTGTGCAGTGGAAAGATGCAATAATTGGTGCTACATGAGCAGAGGAAAAAAAAAAGAGAAAAAGGGCTGTGGCCATTGCTTTTACTCAATAGGTAGAAAACCTACAACTAGTGGGTGATGAAATGTGAGCTTGTCCGTTTTTCCACAAGAAACAATATGGCAGCCGGTTAGTTAAAAATGATCCGAATTACAGTTTAGATGAGATGATGATAAATTACAACGCAGAAACAGGATCTTGGTTCATATTTGATCAGGACTGCCTAGTTTTACTGTTAAATCTCAGTGTGTTCAGCCTGTTTTTGCAATACAGGAAACAGTATGGTGCCAACTTCCTGTTCACAAATTCTCCTATTACAGCCAAACAGTGCACTAAAATGTGTTTCTGAAGACATTTTAAGTGAGAAATAGGCAATAAATCTTGGTTTGTATTTGATCAGCACTGCCTAGTTTTATCATTTAATCTAAGTTTTTGTTTTGTTTGTTTGTTTTAAATTCATGTCTCTGACTTTATAATTATACACTGTTGTTAATTGTTTCTGAATTTCCACTGTCTTAAATTGTGATTGTGCTTTGGCAACACATATGAAATGTCATGCCAATAAAGCCAACTGAATTGAACTGAACTGAAAAATTGAAAGAGACAAGGAGGCGGTTCTTTGTCTTAATCTGCTTCTACACTCTTTATATCCCTGGTGGTGGCCATACAAGAATGCGGAAGTACAATCTGTAGTTTGAGCAACAGCCCTAGAGCCAGTGAAACTCCACCTGATGCTGCCTTTTGCAATAAGTTGGAGGGTTAACTAACCATCTAACAAGTCATCAAAGCAGGGGATAAGATTAAGGAAGATAGAAGTCCATGGTGTAGTGTTCTTCACAAAAAAATCACAAATCTATGTGGAGATTTTACAGACATCAAAGTGAATGGAAAAACAATTTAGCACAACAGTATGTGGCTTCAACTTGCCTCTTAAAAAAATTACCTATCCCACATGGAGATGGAAGGATAGGAAGTGGTTGATCTTTCATCATCAATCAGTTTTTGAGTTTTTTTTAAGGGAGGTAAGTGAGGAGGGTTGCTCAATTTTTTGCCTTTGACCCGTACTTTTTAGACTATTATCCACTTCTTTAAAGAAGAAGAAGATATACTTTATTAATCCCTGAGGGGAAATTCAATTTGTTTCATTCCTTTGTCATAGGCCTGAAATACACATACATGCACAAATTGGACCTATACATGCATTGAATGGAGAGATGTCAGAGTGAGGGGGCTGCCTTAGACAAGCGCCCCAAGCAGTTGGGAGTTCATTGCCTAGCTCAAGGGCACCTCGGCAGAACTCAGTAGGCGAACTGGCACTTCTCCAGCTACCAGTCCACACTCCATACTTGGTCCGTAAGAGGACTTGAGCCAGTGGCCCTCCAGTTCCCAAGCCAAGTCCCTATGGACCGAGCTACTGCCGACCCTCTTGTGTGACAAGATCTGTCTCAACAGCTCTGAGGTGAGAACACTCAATTCTTTTCAGCACCGTGGCCCCCTGGGATCTGGTGTGAACCTCTCTGAAAGTGCAAAGAGTCCACCACATCATTCATAGGGTCATGTCATGATGATCTCGGTGAGGGGAAGATGCTCAGAGAAGAGGACCGGAGGTTGTGACTCTTGGGATTCATACGTTAGAGGTGTGATGGCTGCACAGTGGCACACTTCAACCAAATCGCATGACAAAACATCAGCACGATCTCCGTCCAAGAAACCAACTCAAATCCCAAAACACTGCATCAATCTGAGCTGAGCAATCCAGCTGTAAGCAAAAATGTACCAGCTTTTTGGGGGGATGTCAACTGCTATCACTGTCGCCAGATTTCATTCAGAAATCATATAGTACATTTAACAAAGTTTGAAGTTTGACCACAGAAACTGGCTGTATTTCAGGGAACGCTGATAGTAATGTTTGAGCTATAAAGCCCATAACGAGGTCATTCACAGGTCACTCAAAGAGAGAGATTTCTCTCTAATAAGTCAGACTACAACATTATTTCGTAAGCCATGATGCAAAACCTTTGCAACATCAAAAATATAAAAATTGTTTACATAGCACCAGTTTTCGACATGCAGCTTCTCTAACTTTATGACTTTTTTCCAAACAAAATGAAGAGAAATGATTATGTTCTCACTGCTGGCTGCCTGTTTTGTACATTATGCAAAACAGATTCAAAAGCCAGGACACTTGAACTCTTACCACAGAAAGCATAGGTTTAACTTTGGTCAGGAAAATAGAAATTAGCTGTTGCAACAAGGGTTAAAATTGTGCTCCAGGTGGCATTTTGCTCGGAGCCCATGTCCTGCTCAGTGTTGACCAGATGTCAGAGGAGATCTTGAAAAACAGATCATCTGTGGTGAACTCTGAGTTCAGCTGAGAAGCAGCAGCAGCAAGGCAGAGAGGCAGAGCTGGGTGGACAGATGGTACACTCGTATTTACAGGATGTGACAGCAGCATTTGGAAGGAGCAGGACATGGTACACAGTTAGTCATCATCCTCATTTTAAATGCAGTGACACTGTGTGTGTGTCTGTGTGTGTGTGTGTGTGTGTGTGTGTGTGTGTGTGTGTCTGTTTGTGTGTCTGTGTACTTGTTATTGCAAATTGAGGATATAAATAAACAGATAAAAACACACAGATGTGTAAAGCAGTAATCATGTCCTCAGTACATTTACATACATTAAACCTCTAGCTAGTGGTGAGTCATCGGTTAGGCCTTATAAACACACACACATACATACACACACACACACACACACACACACACACACACACACACGTACTGTTGCATCACCATGATGTTGTTGCCAGGGTCAGACTGGGTTTAAGCCCCACCTCCTCAATCTGTCAACCCTGTGAGAGCAGCGGGTACATGTAGATTTGTGTGTGTGTGTGTGTGTGTGTGTGTGTGTGTTTGTGTGTCTCTGCATGCTTGTGTGTGTGTGTGTTTGTGTGTGTGAGAGAGAGAGAGAAACCATCACTGCCTTGGTAGGTCTTGTATTAGATTCGCTGCACAAAAGCCTATTTGGATTAAAGTCATTAAAAAGCAGCTCCAGCTGAAACCTTTATTACTACCTCTGACCTCAGCAGCCACAAGCCAATAGTACTACTAATCAAAAGCCTCACCCATTTGTTATCTATCTGAACCACAATACTTCCAACATCCTTCAACTTTCCTCCGCTGCAGCCTGGGTTTTTTTTGTTGTTTTTTTTTTTTTTTTGCTAGTGTACTTTTTTTATGAAGCAAAGCCGTATTTTCTTTCAATATTTTTTACTATCTGAAAGGTCACATAGTGCCCACTTAGATGGTGCAGAAGGGAAAAAATGAAAAGTTGTTTTTTTTTTTTAATGAATGCTCTTTAAAGGAAGTGCAGCAGCAGCACAGTGAGCAAGAAAAATGAGGTTCTTTAAATGTTCTCGTGTTTACACGAGCAAAATGTTTCTGCTGGTGCCAGTGCTGCGAGTGTAGAGAAGTTTAGATTAGGATCTGGTTTACACAGTTGCCTGAAATGATAAATGAAGTAAGTATTCAAGATCCACAGAGATGTGGGAGTAAGAGCGTTTAATCTAAAAAAACAAATTAAAGCCTGGGCTCACGGCGTAGTAACTACGTGTTTTAGCTGTGCATGCCTTACTAGAACTGGGCAATATGGCCTATAAAAAATAATGCAATGTTTTTCGGCTATATCATGATCGCTGATATATATCTCCATATATTGAAATCTCCTCCAACTATAGACTAAAATACTAAACCACAAAATAAACTACTATAGCAATTAAGTTAAACAAAGTACTCATATATTAAAGTCAAATGAAGTTCTGTTATAATAAAGTTAAATAATGTACTGTTGTAATAAAATAAATTGAAGTACTATTATCATTAAAGGGCCAGTGTGTAAAATGGGTTGAAA